TAGGTGGAGAACAATTTTGTTTGATGTAAAAGAACGTAGAATTCCTCTTCTTTTTAGGCCACAGGCGCCTGACTGTTTGGCTTTAATCAGGGAACTACCATGTGAAATAAAGGGATAAGGATAAATATAAGAAGATGCTAAAACTAAGAGAGTTAAATAGTAGCATCTATCCTGAACCCTTCTCGAGTATATGTTTTGTCTTTGTTCTTATGCTAACTCAAATGATATTGTTATATGCTTAAAAATTGAGTAGATTAAAATTAAGCTAAAAATTATTAATAGTTCTTAATGTTGATATTTGCATGTAATATGATGAGGAAGGGACCTTGTTTTACCACTTTAATGCAATACATTCTTTTCATGCGATGTAATTTAGATATTTAATGAGATTTATGAGATGTTATTTTCTCTTATGCTGTATTTTCTTGTAAACAAATTAGGTTTACCAGTCTGCATGTGGTCAATGACAGATAATGGGTTGGATCAGGTTGCTAAAACTGAAAAATCATCAGTCATTAGTGAAGGAGAAATTTTTCTTGGAAATTCTCCCTCCATGGTAGTTTTTCCACGACAAATAATTGACTTACCCCCATTGAAGATGGAAGCGGAAGAATCATCTGAGGATGCGAGCCCTCATAACATATGGCAGGTAATGCGCTCCTTACCTACTTTCATTTCTCTTCACAATCTATAGATTTCTTCTTTTTAATTCTTCGTTTTTCTTTGCCATCATAAAAGGGCTCCTTGATTTGCTCATCTATCTGTGCTTGCTGAAACATTTGATTTTTTCTTAAATTGCTTTCCCTTTTAATAGAAGATTTACACTCATTTCTGTCTTTATGTTAGTGTTGGTCCATTGTCATTTTTTTTTTGTTTTTTTTTTGGGTCAATTATCTTACCCAGATACGATTGTTAATTCTTCAAAATTCAGCAAATTAAAATTGAAATAAATATGAACTATGGCGCTCTATCTATGATTTAGTTAGAGAAGGATCAACAGTCCGTGTTGATATTGCACTATTTCTGCCTAGAAAGGGACAATCCGGTGTCATGATGAGAATATAAAGCTAAGAAGCCAGTCAATAAGATTATTAGAATATTTTTATGGCCACTTGGGAATTGCTGATAGAGGGTTGTATATGTAAATATGATGACTGTGAGTTAAATTGTAGAAGATCCTTTTGTATTTGTTGATGCATTTTTTATTTCTAGCATTTGGAGCCAATTATAAGTGAAGCGTTTAACTTCATAATGTATTGGGGTTAGGGCTTATTTTGCAAGAAGGGGAGAGGGTTAGCTTTATATGATGAGAATAAATCTATGTCCTGCTATCTCTGTCTATTGTTTTGTGCTAGAATTAGAATTCACATATTCATGTCATGGAAGGAAACTTGGGTCTTATTGATTCATTTCGAGGAAAGGAATCAAAATCCCACAGATATATGCTAGGGGAAAAAATATTCATTTATGAGCTTACTTGGGGTAGTAATTGGGATGTTTGTATCCAATTCAAAGCCCAGTATATATGAATCTGTGTGTAAGTTTAAAAAAATTCTAAACTTTTTTGGGCGTGAAAGCATATTTTGAGCCTGAATTTAAAATATAGTAGTATATATTCAACATAGAATGTTATTTGTATAAGCGTATATTTTTTTCATGTTTTGATGTAGACTATTTTCCTCCTTATTTCTTTTTCTTAAAATCACTTTATATATTTCCTTGTATCAAGTGACTGAAGAGTAAGAAAAAAACTATCCTGTTCTTGTGTTCTCCAGATGATATTAGAGCCCTATGCCTTTTTTTCTCAGCCTTCTAAACCTAACAATAACCTTCATTACTGCATATACTCCCGCAACTGCAACCTCTATTGCTACGGTCTTTTTGCCGCAGTCAATTCCAATTTCCAATCACAAATCTATAGTACTGTAGCAACCAGATTTGATTCGCGGTTATTGCAGTCTTCTTCTGCTTCAATAATGGCTCTAAAATAATAGCTTGTTCTAAAAAATGCAGCAACATCTTCTCAGCAATATACAACCTGGTAAGTCCAAAAACTTTCTTCTTCGCAATCCTGTTCTCAGATTTGTACTCACCAAAATGGAAAATTGGGGAGGCCATTTGGTGTCTCAGAGTACAAGAAATTCTTAATTTTTGATAGGTCGTTAGGTGTCTCAGACTACAAGAAAATTCTTAATTTTTGATAGATTTTACCGATGAAAATTTTCATAGGTTATCAAACTAATCTTTGTAAAAATGGATAGATCGTGGAAGGTTCTGATAGGCATTTCATTACCCTTTTTGAGACTATCAGGCGATTGATGAATTTTATATCAGCCTGAATTTAGTACCGACAAAAGATTCGATGGTTCGTATTTGGTCCCTTTCCCTTCCCCATTAATTATTTGAAACCAAGAGCTCCCTGTGCGAGCTACTTTGTTAATTTTGATTATTTTCCCTTCGCCACATACTCCACTATTTTTTGTTTGTTTTTCCATCTTGTTTGCTTGCAATCTTCTTTCAGTCCAGTGCCTTTTTCTCTTATTTTTATTTTGATTTTCTTCTTCAATTTTAAACTCTAGCACAAATGTTTCAAAGGAGTTTTTCTGTTTTTAGAAAACGAGAAAACAACGGGAAGATGGCTTGTCTTTTTAAAAGTTAGAATAGTGGGCTTTTTGATATGTTATTAAGGATTTGGATGGTGTAAAACGCAAAATTTATGCGCTAGATATGTAAATGCATATGAATTAGGTGGTAAGGAAAAATGCCAAAAAATACTGTTTATAGAAAGTTTTAGTTCTAGGATTGAATTATAAAGAAAATATGAGATGAAATTTAGAAAGGAATAAATTATGGAAAAGCATTAGTGTAGTGTGCTGTGGTGACAGTATTAAAACAATGGTTTTTTGGGGTAATGTCTTATCGATCCCTTTTGTTAATTATCTCATCTCTCTCTCATCCCTATTATGATTTTGACCATGTTTTATGTAATTATATATAATTGATTAATCCAGTGAGATGAGGTGAATGTTTGGAAAACTTAAGGATTTATATGCTTATGTTGAAGTGGTGCAATTGTTAACAACATCTTACGAAGGATATGACCCTGGAAGTTAAAACTAGAGTAGTTGATCTCTATGTCAATTCATATGTAATATTTGAAAACTATTCACAATTATATATAATTTTTGAAGTTTTAAATTTTATTAGTCAGTAATGCCTCTGTACTGACAATTGTTTTGTAGAAAATATATATAAGTAGGTTTGATTTTATTAGATATTTTGTACTATGGAAAATTTGATTGTAAATTTTTCATGCCTCACTGGCATTATGTTTATGATCCATCTTAATTGTGATGATGTTTCATTTGTCATTTGCCAATGTTGTGATGAAAGAAAGCTTGTTAAAAAATTTGCAACAGTTATTATGACTGAAAAGTTTGTCAGTAATTATGAAATTTTTAGTGTCAATCTCAGT